TTCCTTTTGATTTGCTGGATATTTTAATATTTTAGAAATATTTTATACTGTATGGGTAATTAATTCTTATGAGAACGATCACAAATCACGTCGTACTATCTTGCTCATCGCGACAGCCTGTATTTAGCAACCGCTGCGTTTAGAATCTAGAACGCTAAAGTATAAATTAAATCATTGTTTAACAGAATTATCCACTTAATTCTGCTATTTAAATGCAAAATTAAAATCTTAGTAATATCCAATTCTTTCTCAATCATTGCTCGAGGTTAGTACGCGTTTTACTTCGCAATTGTAGATCTGGTCGCTCTTACTCGTGGCATAGACGACGTTGAATCCGACTTTCCTGGGCATGTTGCGGGGGTGCTGATCGTCGGGAAATGGCAACCAATAGAACGAACAGCGTGATAAACGACTGAAATGTTGTACCACGAAGCGCACGGAACGAACGAACGGAGAGGAACGGAGGGATACGTCAAAATCTAAAAGGCACAGCCATCTGCAAGCTCGATAAAGGGGGAGCTTGCAAGTTTCACCCCGGCGCGCAGGCCACCCCACTCGCGCATCCGGCCGCGGCGAAGCTTGCGACAGAACTGGCTTCGCGCTGGAAGGCTGAAACCGCCGTCTCCGTCTCCAATAATAGGTTGAGATTTTCCTGCGGAAAGGCATGCGTATATTCGCGAATTCGCAAACACGACGCAGATATCGCAATGATGCCGCGATGCTGCTATGAAATTGATAGAGATTTCCGCGAATGTTGAACACATTCTCGAAAAGAAGGGGTGAATCACAGAAATTTAATACAGATATTTATTTCCCTCGAGTCGTGAAAGATAAAAAAGATTCTTCTCGTAACAATTAAATAGTTTTCCGCGTTCCCCTTTCTATTCTTATCTATTTATTTTAATTCTCGCGAGAAGCAATGCGGAATTCAACACACAAATTATCTCTTTTCCGCGGCCATCCATAAAAAATTATTTCTCATTTAAAATTGTTAAATGGAATTATGTAATCTTTTCCAGGTTTATACTTGATATTTTAATCACTGATATCTTTATTTTACGATTTTAAATTTTTCGAACATTCGATCACATTTTTTTTATTTCGAAAAAAATTATTCAACACAGAAATAAATTTCTTCTGTGTGTTTTTATTTGAATACACGTTTATTAAAGTTTACTCTTTTTATTTAGTAAAACTGGAATTTTTTTTCGACAAATCGTGACGTGAATTAAACGAGGAAGTTTCGTAATATTTGAGAATCCCTGAAAAACTATATTCATGAAGAATGTACAGCGTTTGTTTACCATATAAATACCAATATTCTACTGATGTAGTCTACTCATGTCTCGCATTCTACTCGAGTCCGCTCGAGTCGAAATATAGACTGTAATTTCGTAATGGATCAATAAATGGAGGCTGCGTGACGTCAGAGGGTGCGGCGAGGGTGGACAAGCCCACGAGAAGCGTCTTATACGCATGCTCCTCTTCATCGTTCACGGCCACGTGTAAAGGCACGTGTTATTTTGGAATAACTTTGATTATTTTCGCGAAAACGTTCTAAAAGCGTTATAAAAGAAAATATCGCATAAAGATATTCGTAGAACGGAATTAAATACCTGATATTGCAATCTGTAGTAATATTTTGGTGATTCCATTTAATGGTGTTTACGACGAGAATGATATTTCGAATTGGAAAATTAGCGTGTAAAATATATAAAAAATGATATTTTAATAATTTATTTTAAAATATTTATAACATTTTATATTATATAATATAATACATTCACATTTTAATACATTCACATATTAATTCCTTACTTTAAAGACGGGTAATTATTTAGAATTCCCCCCTCCCCCCTCTCCCCACCTCAAATCTTTTTTGCCATATTCTTTCGTTTTGAAAATATGTTGAATAAGTGTATTTTTATTAAGATTTGAGGTGGGGGGAGAGGATGTATTCTAAATAATTACCTAAAGTAACAAAAAATTAAATTTTTCAGGAAAAATTTTTGTCCTATTATTAAAAACTATTTTTCAACTTAGCAGAATATTAATGACTAAATAATATTGACAAAAGGAATGTATTCTTAGAAACATGATCAAATGTTTGTTACTTTAGTTTCACAATTTTTAAAAAATCTTTTTAAGTTGTGACAATTTTGATATTCTTCTAATATACAAGGAACAATTATTTTGAGTTGTGATACTTTTGATGTGTATTTGTATAAAAAAATTTACTGTTGTGAGACTTCTGTTGATGTTTATTTGTATTATCAAAAACATAATTTTGATAATACAAGTTACATGACACTTTGTGTTTTTGTATATTGAATTTTTAATGTTAATTTTAAGGAATTTTGAAAAAGATGTAAATGAATCAACAATATAAGGATTACAGTCTTTTCTTATCCTTATAGACATTTCCAATTACGTAGTAGCAAAAAGATACAAAAGGCCTTTTGCAAATTGAAAAATCTCTGAACCACCTAATTTAGATTGACCGTAGACCCTATCGACGAATGTAATTGGCACTTCTCCTATTGTATAATTGAATTGTCTAGCTCTGACTATCATTTCCATTTGGAATACATATCCTTTAGATACACAGGATTGTATGAGTTTTTCCAATACATCTTTTTTATAAAGCCTAAAATTGTAAAATCACATATTAAAGAATACATTGGAGACTATTTTATGAATATTTTGTAAGAACACATAGAACTAAGTCTATAAAAAAATTCATTACCTAAAACTACCCGTCAAGTCACTTGCACCAGGTCTCAATAGAATCTGTGTTAAAAAATTTGCACCTCTACTGACTAACTTCCTTTTGAAATCCCAGCCGTAAACACCACCGCCTTGTGCATATCTTGTACCACTGACTACATCCAGGTTCAGATATCGTTGTAATTCAGCCATTTTTGGAATAAATTTGGGCTGAAAATTAAAGAATGTGTTTTATAGAAACGCTTATCATTATTACTTCTCCATTTATTCATTAATGTGATACATACATGATGAGATAAATCAGCGTCCATGATAATAATAAAGTTTCCAGTTGCATATTTAATTCCATGCATGTAAGCAGTTCCTAATCCCAGTTTTTTCTCTCTCGGCTTTAAGATTATTTTATCGTCACCGTAGACACGCTGCAATTGCTTAGCCATATTTAGAGTTCCATCTGGAGAACCATCGTCTATCACAATAATTTCATAGGCAAGCTCACTATAACATTGTAAATTACAACAAAATTCTTTAACTATACAGCTTAAGTTTGTCAATTTTTATTTTATTTCATTAATTATACATAAATTTTGATCAATTCTAGGTTATGTCTAGTTACCTCTCCTCCATATATTTCACAATGAGCCATATTATTATCGGCAAATTTTCCACTTCATTATAAGTGGGAAGTAAAATCGAATACTTGTCATTCTTGCATAATTCCTTTATATTTTTCTTCACCTCCTCTTTATTTACCATTTTGGTACAGCTTTACAACAGTTTACTACAAGAGAGCCGTGCTGGAAAACAAACTCCAAACTTCAAGTACTCCAACTCGACAATTGGTAAGACTGTCAGAAATGTCAAAAACAGATGTGCAGACGCGCACGATTACAGCGACATCGCTGATATTTAAAACCGCGATTTTCAAATCAATAAACTGTAGCAGAGTATTAAATTTTATATAATTCTACAAGGAATTTTATGAAGAAAGAAAGGCAGAAAGAAAAAAAAAAGTATGTTCATTTAATAATTTTTCCTAAAAATATGAATAAATGCAACATAAATAGAATTTATTGCCGTAAAATATAAAATATTTATGCACAGCAATCCCATCTTTTATCAATAAAAGTAATGAAAAGTATGAGTTGAATGAATATAATTAAATTATACAAGCAAAATATAATTGAGATTATGGAGAGAATATAAAGAGAATTTTCCAGACATTAACGTAAATATTTACCTAAAAAAACATTTTATTTGTAAAGTGTAGCGTTATACATGATTATGCAATACTATTTTTAATATAAATTGTCACTTTCTCGTACTACACTTTGATATATTCTACTTACTCTATTATTATATTACATACATTTATTTTATATAATTATATACTATTTCTCTACTAAAATATTATAAAAAATATTATCTGTGTAGGGAGAACTCTCTATTTGTAGCATTTTATCGGAGTTATCAAATTTGTAAACAGATAATATCGAATTAATAAGATGTAATGATAAAAGCGTTTCTTATACCTCGTATCAATTTTTTGTAAATTTTGTTATAATTGCTCGCTATTATATTGATCAAATTTGTCGCATTTCCCTATTGATCATATATTTGTCTATTTCTTGTAATAGCTCTATGATCGTAATAGCCGATATCAGTTATCGCCGCAATAATCCTACGAACATTCTGCAAATATTCGCGAAGATACTCTCACGCACACATGTTCGTGTATGCATTCGCACACAAATATACATATTTCATATATATTTGGTCCATTGGCTGTTTCCGCCGCGTGCAACAAAGGTCGGCTAACCAATAGTGCCGGTCGACTAAATTTTGGCACCCTGGACAAAATACTGGACGAATTGCAAATATTAATTCTCACAATTTAATTACCTCATCAAGTACTTAAAATATACGATCAATAAGTATACATCACATTGTGAATGCAGACGTAAAATTAGTAAAATAACTGGCATATCAATTTTTTTTTCATTGCATATTAATTTGATCGAAAAATATAAAAATTCCAATGTATAAAATGTATCCGTTCTTGACTTTTATAAATATTATATATTTAATTTTATAGATTACATCCATTGTAAACGTTTGAATTTACATGCTTGACGCTGATATAAATGCAAGTTATACAAGTTTTCTGAAACATTAAAAATTCTTATATCTTTTTGAAAAAAAATTGAAAGTTATATGTGCGATTCGACATTTTTAATATCAATTTCCATATCTTTTCATGTATATATATTTATTAGTTTATTCCAAAGGGTTAAATCTTCCGGACGGCACTGTCGGTAATGCACCCCTCATCCCTCATCCCGCAGAGCAGCGTGAGTGTTCACGCCGACGACCCCCACCGCCGACGATCCTCACTCCACCGCTGCCGACCTCGAGATAGCCGAGGAACAGCCGCCGTTCCGAAGCAAACGACGCCGCACTCTACGATCGGTCGTTCGTGGAATCGGAGTGCTCGTTCGTCCGTTCTCATCTGGTCTGGTCGACGTGCATTTGTGTCTCTGCGAATTCACATACGACAGCGTCGGTACGTGAGATCGAGGTCGCGATGCTTTCACCCTCCCGAGGAGACGACGGTCCTCGACGAGGGGAAATCTGCGAAAACGAGGATCGGAGCAGATTTTGCAAAATCGCTAGTGAATGGTTGAGTGTATGGGTGTATATGTGCGTGTGAGTGCGTGCATGCCTGTGTCTGTGTGCGTGTGTGTGGTGGAACATATCGGTAGTGATCGTGCCGATTTGTGGGCGATTTAAAATGCGCCATCCTCTCTGCGCCAGCGGAAGCTGAGAATTCGACAAGACTCGGTCGTTGATGGTCGCCGATGGTCGCCCGGACTTCGAGGAATTAAACGATCAGCCAGGAATTAATTTTTACGACAATCGATTACGAGAAGAGCGAACAGCAGCTAAGATCTAGGGCAACGATTCCGTTTGCGTCTTTGTGCTAATCGTTCTTTCAAACTTGAAAGACCAGCTAGCATGCGCTGTATCTCTGCTGCGCTGTATCTATGGATCTTTTTTTGTCGGTTACTCCGTTTCTCATATGGTTCTCATATGATATTTCTTTTTATATTTTCGACTTCTTGTCACGCCGAGATTCTCTCGGCGGTCAACTCTTCCTCTTAACGCGTCCGCGATTTTTTTTTTTCGCGCAAGCGAAAGATCAGCCGTTCAGCAACGTGAACGAGTTTACGACTCGTCTTTTCTCACGATCGAGAGATATCATCCCCACGACGAGTATAATCTGCGTCTTCTGGATCTTCAGTCATCAGCGTAAAAATGTTTTCCCGCGTCTCGTTGTATACGAGAGTTGCAAGCCGAGTTACATGATGTAACGACGATGACGTAAAATACGGGCGTTACGTCTCGATACGATCGACTTCCGCGAGAGACTCATCGTCCGATCCGTATCGGATCAGAAAATAATTTCGGTGGATCCGTTGCGGGAGAGGAGTTGACGTGGGGAGAGATGGTGAGGATTTAGCGGGGGTCCACGGAGTACGGACACCATCGCCACCATCGCGGCCGTCTGGCTAGCCCCCGAGCTAGCTCCGGATAGTCCGGATGGCAGCATGGCGCGCACCCGCGCGACGCGCGACGCGCGTTGCGAGGCCCCGTGACGAGCCGTTCAACTCCGCCACATTTTGCCTCCCTCCTCTCCTCTGCGTCTCTTCATCCCCTCTCGCGCGATTACTTCTTCCCCGCCTTCGTCCTCCCCCTCCCCTCCGTTCACGACTCACCCGCTGTTCTTCAACCGTAACCCTTGCTATCAGTGATTCAGCACGTGCACCTCCACTCCGTTCCGCAACGAGATAGCGGCATAGCGCTTTCGCGTTCTGCCTACCGCGGATTATCGCGGACCAACGGATGTCAAAGAGACTGCCATGCTTTTCAGAATTTTTCTCGCTACTTCAATCGTCTATTCTGGCTGCGGGTTGTTGTTGATAGAAGAATAGGGGTTGTAGGAAATTTCTCAGAAATATTTGTCAGGCGAAACGGTATTCTTTTAACATTTACGGACAATTACGTACGGTGTTGATGACAATCGATGATTTCTTGTGATCGAAGAAATTTATTTCTGATCATCAAATCCTGTAAATGTTTGCTACTAAGAATTAAACTATTAGGATTCTTTTTTTAATATGTGTTTTAATATTGATTTTACAATTTTGATTCTAAGTGCGTATATTTATTTATTGTAAATACAAAGCGTATAATCGAATGATAGTATATAAATAAAATAATTTAGAATATTAGAAATGTATAAATCTGAAAATTCTTGTATTTAAAATAATAATGCAAAACATGTTAGAAAATAGTTTAATTTCAACTTCTCCAACGGTTATTCTATGAAATGCAAATTTATAAATTAAAATTTCTCAGAATTGTTACGTAAAAACAATTACACTTAATGTAACAATTTTATTTCCATGCTAGCGTGTGTCGGACGTATCAGTATTTTCAATCTTAATTTTAAATCCTTTAATAATTACTTAATCAGAATTTAATGTATTAGATTAATGTATCAGATATGTTTATTATTATGACCGACTAATCAGAGTTCACAAGATGTCAATCTTGTTGCCTAATCTAATCTAGTTTTACTAGCAGAGAACGATTAATTTCATTTGCCTATTACGCAAATTGTTTAATGCATACTAAATTGCCACAAACACATATTGAAAGTGATTGTGCTTTCAACAGTTATTGATCAATTGGCCTTGAACTAACAAGTAAAAGTTTTTTCGTGTTTATCTGTCAAGTCTTCAACTTATGATGAAATAATTAAATGTGTGTCTTAAAACAAATATTCTTATTTTGATTATTATTGAAATATTATTGAGGCAGACCATCGGCGATGATCTTACTACCACTGTGTGTATTCTGCATATCGTTCATTCAGTGTATTTTATGTGAAATCAGGTGAAAATCAGTGCACTCGGAAGAGTCACAATAAGGATGTGGCGAGATCCTCCAGGCGGAGGGTATAAGAAACCCATCCACGTCGCCGCTATGTTACTGCTAGCTGTTTTCCTGACATTGACAACGGGTGAGTCAACTTCGTACGAAAAAATCTCATTCTTTCACTTCGTATTTCTCAACATGACTCGACGATAATTACGGAGAAGCATTGACGCATGAGGGTCAGGCAATGTACGTGAAAAATCGGAGAAAAGTTTACATATGTAAGAAGGACAAGTCACGACTTTTGTACGTTAAACAGAAGCTCTAAGATGCTTACTAAAAGCGAGTAAAGTCGCTCCGTGTGAATCACCTTTGACGTAAATATAATAATAATAATAATAAATGCAGATTTTAAGTCAGTAACGATAATGATTGGACATCAAAACGATATTCTTTTAATGTATGATGTATTATAGAAATAAGAATTACATTCAAAAATTAATTGAAAGCTTGAAAATAATTGAATTTTCATCAAAAGCTGAAATTTTAATTTATTTTAAAGCTGCATGGTTTCTAAGAATTTTGTTATAGCAAATTGCATATTGCAACGTGATTCCTGATGCTTTTACAACTATTTGTAATATCTCTTCCATAAATTACGAAAGTGATATACATTTCAATACGCTATTGTGATTTTATAAAATATACATCTTAGCTACAAATTGCGAAATTCATCAGCTGACACGACATTCTAGCATTCTGTTCTTCATAATACACGTGCTTCAAATATGATACTTGATGGACGTTAAATATCCTTGGATATTCTCATCGATTCATCAGCATATTAGACAAAATTAACATAAATCTTAATTTAATCAATTCCTAGCAAGAATAAAATTAAAGAAATTGATTTTCTCATTTATATTGTATAATTACATATACAAATTTAAATCTGATATAACAAAATATAAAAGCATAAGGTATTTCTATAAATAGAAATTGTTACTCTATAATTGTTATATAGGATTTTTTAATACAATATAAAGGCTAACGTAACTGAAAGATTGACATCACATTTCATTAATAATTTAATAAATTGCCGCGCGATTTTCAAGTATCTAATCACTAAAATCAAACGATTTTAGTTCCATTCATTGTGATTTGTTATAACGGTCTATGCTGCTGCTTCTCTTTTGACATAATTTCGTGCCAGCGTTTTGAACTGAACAGACGGTTAGTTGGGATCGTGAAAGGTTCCGAGGTATAAATTCGAACGGATCTCGAAGTGCAGCTGTCGGAGGAGAAATTAAGATGAAGGGGACGAAGAGATCGGGGAGGGAAAGGAACAGCTGCTGTTCCCAGAATGCAAGCTCACATCACACTTCAAGAAGAATTGCACTCATCACCAGGTGAATCCGCCTATTATGTATGCGGAATCTGCGTTACTGTTCATTTGTTGATGAAAAGTGAGCATAAAATTGAAGTATTCACGATACTTCTAATTGAGCTTGAAGTTTCGAATAATTAAAAAGAAATCATACGGATTTCATTGATAATTATAACAAAGAATGAAGTTCATAATAACTCAGTTTTATTGAAAATTTGTGAAATCGGACGTACATGAGACATTCTGAACATTTCAATACAATTGTGAGGCAAACAATGTTAATTATAAATTGTCGATATTATAAATATCAAATACGTAAACGACAAAAATTATATTACATGTTTGTAATCCCAATTTTACATTGTACAGGGTTGGCCATATTCGACGGAAAGATCTGGCAACACTGTAACTTTTGACAGAGATGTTAGATCGAGTAACGACGTTTCCCATGATTGAAAAAAAAAACATCTTTCCGTCGAATATGGCCAACCCTGTATTTTATTGAATGTAAATTCGCATTGAAAATAATATTGAAGTTTGTCCGCACTTGAATCTGAGGAAGTGAGATTTAAAAAAACATATATTTTGTTATCTCACAGGAAGTAACAGAAATAGATGTACTTATAGAAGCCGTATACTACTTGAAAGAACAAGAGGTTTAAGAATTTCTTCAGACTTCCTCCACCTACGCATAAAAGTTGTATGTCCACCCTCGCGCACCAATGTGCTTTAATAAAATATAATTCTAATAATAATTTTAAAGATTCTGATTGTTAATTCTGGAATTTCCTGAAAAACAACTGAAGAATATTGCAGAATTAATGAGGTTAATATATATATATATATACAGGGTGGGCCATCTATTGGTACGTTTTTGAATTTCGTCGTATGGCAACACCGAACGAGCTACAGACCCGAAATTTTGACAGTTTATTAGTCATACCGTCCGCGGCACGAAACAACATGTTTTCTCTTGAAGAGCGTTTTGAAATTTTAAAAACTTATTTTCAAAGTCAGTGCTGTGTCGCCGAAACTGTACGAATTTTGAAAAGAAATATGGGTCGTGATAGAGCACCCACCGAAGGAGCTATACGCAAATTGGTGAGGAAAGTTCGTGAGAAAGGGATGTTAGTGGATGACATTATATTACGACTGTTTTGAGTGAAATTGGCGCCGAGGTAGTCCAAAATGTCATTAATAATTGGGGTGACCGAATGGCATACTGTAAGGCCAGTAGAGGGAGCATATATAAAGAATTAAATTAAATAATTCTATGTTATCCCTTTAAAATAATTATTCTTTTAAATTATTATTAAATTCAAATTTAAATGAAAGTTAAATAATTTTTTTATTTAGCTAAATGATAAATAAACAATTAAAAAAACTGTTATCTTGAAAAAAACATGACCTTTTGCAAAGTGCAGCAGTTTTAAAATGAAAACATTGCCAGCATAGACGTTTATTAAATTTTAATTCTTGATTAATGGAAACTCGAAACAAAAATTCCATTGAAAGACTACCTAGATTGTTCGTTTTTTCGACACCTTCGCCGACTTATGGTTTCGACTGATTTGACATTTCTCTTTATCATGCGTGTCACAGAATTTTACGTTTACATACCAACCTTTACACGCAAACGTGCGATGAACACGCACGTGAGTCACACGTGTGGCAATACGCGTGCGCGTGTGTGCACGCTGGAAATATATTCGATGCAGCATGTCCGGACGTTTCGAAGCTATCGCTATATATAGAGAAGAATCTTGTCTTTCATCGATGCGTAAGAGTTTAATCTCGGAAAAAAAGATTTACATATCATTTCTGCGATCGATATCTGCAAGCAGCAACATACCGCATTCGCCACGTTGCGTTGTACAGCCGCAACAGTATTCTCTACCCTGAGCCATTGTTGCACCGTGCACGTGCACGTGCCGCACAGAACGTATAAATAATGTAACCCTTTGGACGTAAATGCACAATCACCATTGAAATTGCCGTACGCACATAGTTAATCATTGTAATACCCTTACGTTGGTTATAATCCTTTTAACTCTTTCGATGACCTGACGCCATTGTAATTGTCAACATGCAAAGATTTAAGAGAAGGGAAAAGAGATGTGGGAAAAGAAGAAAGAGGATATCTGCGATGAAGCTGAAAGGAGAGAAACACCGAAAGAATAATTTTGTTGAATCATCAAAATAATTCTACCCTTATGCTCGACTTATGCTCCGATTTTGATTTTTGCCATAGATCATAATGAACAATGCTGCAAAAAGTTTTGACATTTTAGCAACAAGTTTGAATATCCCACATAAGTATCTTGATGGTCCAACAAAATTATTTCCAAATCTGTATCTAGCTAAGTTTTTGAATACTTTAGCAAAATCATTTCTTCGTGAAGATAAGAAAAAGAAATGTAAATTGTAACTCACCGTATTCACAAAAAAAGTAAAAAGTTGATATTTCTTGTTATCCGCTTCAATCGAATGCTATTTACTTGAGAAATTTTGCTATCGTCAGCACGCGAGTGAAATGAATCGGGAAAGCTAGAGGAGGGTAAGAATAGGCGACATAAAATTGTAGTTATGTGAACGGAGGTTCGCCTACAGTAGAAGGCGCGTATCCACGACAAAAATTCGGAACACCTGTCCTTTATACCTATATATGTATCCTGCCTGCTTGCTCCAACGGCGCACGCTTCGCCAACCGGTTCTTCGTAACTTGATTTTATACGGTGCCGGGTTTATATACGCTCTCGCTTCGCCGCGATCCCTGTCGCGGTGAATCAGTAGTAGGTGGCTATGTACGCGAAAATTGTGCAGTACGATATACTCCTATAATAAACTTTCGATACCTTTTTTTACGTACTTGGCGTATATTTCTTCTTTTTTAAAGAGATTTTTGTTTTTAGGGATACTATATTATACGAAATAAATCATCTAGATAAGAAAAGCGCTAACTGTATCAATATTTTACATCTTTCTCTATAATTAATAATGATATATGATGGACAACACTAAAAGGTAAAAGAGAAAATATTATTTAAAGTATAATATATAAATTCACTTTTTATTTACTAAATTTATTTATAAATTGTTTTTACGAAACATAAATTGTTTTTTTGAAAATGTTAAATTCTTATATTTTCCGTTTTTTTTATTTGATTCTTGCTTGAATAAAATTGTTCACGTTACTAGATAACGATTTAGCGCTATAATTCAGATTATAAAAAGTGGATTTAATTAGTATTTGTGAAAAACCTTTTAATTATGTGATATAACTGCTTATAGGTACACATTGGCTGCGTTTAGCAGAGAAAACTAATCAGTTAGCTTAGTGATTCTTTCATCACGATTGGTTCCTATACATACATTTAACGAAGAATTAAAGGTAAGAACTAATCATATTAAAGAATCACTAAGCGCTAACTGATTAATTTTCTCTGCTGAACGCAACTATTGTATCGAGAAATAATTGCACGGAAACTGTTTGCGATTTTTTTTATTTCTTATAGAATATGGAAATTCATGTATTTACAATCAATGGCAATAAATTTACAATCAATGGCTATAACTTGTCGCTACCGATGGTACCGACATAGTCGAAGAGCGCAGCTTGCCACGACGGAAAAGGAATCACGCATTGTCGTCTCCCTTATGGTCACGTGACGTTGATCGCATATTATTCAATAACAGACTTGACAACCTGTTGTTTGCAATTGGCAATGCGCCAATTGAATGTGGGTGTCGCATATCCTGGTTGAAACGAATGATAAGCGAAACCCGAAGACACGAGACAAAACGTCTCGTGACACTTTAAATTAATTGGCTTCGTGCTAATGTTCCCACAAGCTATTAAGCGTCCCTTACATTTCGTTCTGTCCACGAAACATTTCTTTTTCACAATAAAAACTCTGTTGCAGTCTTTATTTTACATTAGTTCTATTATCCTCACAAAGAAATTAATCTTTACATAAAAGTCGTGACTTGTCGCTTACAATTTCAAAAAATAATTCCTGAAAAATTAGTTATTCGTCTTGAAAAGATACATTTTAACTCTTAATAAACATGATAGTTTTTGGCTTTGTATACAACGGGGATTTATTATCCTGAGTTAATTTTCATCACTTTTTACGAGTATATAAAAATTATTGAATAAATTTTTACATATACTTTGACATCTTTAGAAAATATATGTTATATATTTATAAAAAATTGTAAATAACAAATGTTATAATTATAAGCAAAATAAGAAAAATATGCCTTTTTTCATATAAAAATGCAAAACATTGAAACAAAAATGTTTAAAGAAAAAATATGTTTTAATATCTTAAAATTATCATGTCAATCTATTAAAGAAAAAACAGTTTAAATATCGGTTGTCCAAAAAATGTAGTTATTGAGTGACTAATAAATGACTTTTTACAGTGCTTAAATGGATATAAATTAAACGTTTATTGCATTTATCGTTGTATTAAAAAATTAGAAAAAACATTTTTGAATTTTTATTTAAATATTTTTTAATTTAATATTCGTTATATTTTTTAAATATTAAATATTCAACGCAAATTGGTTCATTTTTAATTTTTTAAAATAATTTATAGAATTTTTACAATCTAAATGAGAATTAAATAAGAATAAAAAAAAATTTAGCTGCAAAAAAGTTACCCTCTATACATGATGAGTCTTTCGTGTCCTAAGATAAATTTCCGAAACGTTCTCGTTGGAGGATATACAGAAATAGGAACTGATAACGCACAAAATTTGTTTACTAAATACCAAAATTTTTTTTAGAAAAAGAATATAGATCATTATTTGGCTGTTTCTAATATTTCAAGGAAAAAATGCTGAGAACAGGAATGATCGTGTGAAGGATCGAAATTGTATATTTTCGAAATAAGTTAAATAATATAAGTGCCCGTGTATGATCATGAAAACTTTTGCATTCTGCTTGCAGTTATCTCTGCCGAAGATGCATCTATGGGACCGGTGTTTGTCAAGGAACCTCCAAATCGAATTGATTTCTCAAATGGAACTGGAGCCGTCGTTGAATGTCAAGCAAGAGGAAACCCACAACCAGATATCATCTGGGTCCGTTCCGATGGAAATACTGCTGTAGGAGACGTTCCTGGATTGAGACAGGTATTGTGTTAAATTTTAATTTTTTTTGCAATTAAAGTGTCACAATTAAATAAGTATTAAAACGATATCGGAAAAAATTCATGATTTTTTTAAAGGTTTTATCAAGTTTTAAAATAAATGAGCGTGCATATAGCATCTGTTTTTCTATTCTATTGTATTAATGTTAGCAAAATGAATGTTTTTAATTAAAAAATGTAGAGAAAAGTTGCCTATATTGTACCCCTTAACATTTAAATAAAATTGTTACAAAAGTACTGAAGAGATTAAAATTTGTTTAAATAAGATTTAAAAACAAGTATAAGCTTTTAGTACGATTTGAAGACAGGGTCATTAAATTACCACTGGATTCCTAAACCGTACTTTTAATAAACGATCATTAGTTTTTACCAAAAAAAAATCTAAATTTTCTTAAAATCCAACAAATAATATTTATGAATAGTTTTTGATAAGTTATTTCTTAAAAAGAAATTCAATGTTTCATTTATAAAATACAATGATGATTTAATCGTCGCGTCGCGTCTGTACGACTTACAGTTAGTAAACTGCATCATATAAAATTGAACAAAAATTTTTTCTTTCACGTGTGGGACGATGAACTATTTATCAAAACAGCTGCCGATTACTAGTTGTTCCAATATCAAATACCTATCTGCAATATGTGAATGGAATTATTAAACGCCCATGCCATCCCACATTCATTCATGTGATCGTGAAGGACGCTTTAATTTTTTTTCAAGCTTGCTGCGTGCGTTATTACGTATAATTTATAATTTAGTTTCTACATTCTATAGTTATTGGCCCTTCGTAGGTTATGCCGAACGGAAATTTGGTATTCCCTCCTTTCCGTGCTGAAGATTATCGTCAAGAAGTTCACGCTCAGGTCTACACCTGTTTAGCACGTTCCCCTGCAGGTTCGGTACACAGCCGTGATGTCAACGTGAGAGCTGGTAAGTGTTAATCTTTACATTTATCCATTAGGCATTTATCATTTAGCCATCTATAGTATTTTATATAGGATGTTGAAAAAAATAAAGAGCGCCTTTAAATTTAAATTCAAGTAAATTCGAATTTGAGATCGATTTTTGATAGAAACTCAACTTTCTTTGCATTTAATATCAAAATGAATTTATATTAGTTATTAAAATAGCAATTAAAATCATAAAGATGAAAGGAAATAGTTTGAATTTTTAATGTTTATTTCAGTTTGACAAAAAATATTAAAGTTATAGATCAATAATTGCAGAAACATTTTGTGTAACGTACAAATAAAAATTATTTTTAAGTTAAAATTTTTATTAGATACTTCATTGTAATATTTTAATGTAATCTTAAGCGCTAGAAATTTTTACTTAAAAATTTTGAATTAATTTTGCAATATACATATATAATACATTTAGTTAAAAAATTATATTTTTAGATAGAATTTTTTTAATAAGATGGCTAAATATTGGAAAATATAAAAATTATTCTTTTCAGCGAAAAAGCACGCTTTTTGATGCTTATTATTTCTTCTACCGAGGTCCTTTAAAAAAACTCCAATTCGATAAAAGATATCAGTATCAATCAGATGATGTAGTAGTTTGATGCTAGATATTGCTCTTTAAATATGTTACAATTTGCCGCCGCCGTTTATGCGAAAAATATATTCGATTCCTCCAGTCTCAATCTGCTCGCAAGTAATTAGGAAATTGTTCTTTGCATGATCGATGTAATCCATTCATTTTAAGTGATGTCATCGTACTGTTCGTGCGAAACACTAAAAACGCTTCTGAATCACATATAGTGATGTCATTAAATCTGACGTCACTGTGCTTTATCGACCGCACAATACAATTTCTAGTTGCATTCTTTTACCGGTTAAATATAATTCATTCTTTACAGATTTCTAAAATGAATTTTTTAGATAAACAAAGTAATAATAAATAATAATAATTATTTAAAAATATTATTAGACACCATTTAAGGCATTGATTTCTAATGTTTATATTATCACATATACGATGTCTAATATTTTTAAACAATATAATATCTATAAGATATTATTAATAAATTATATTATTAATTGTTAAAAATATTACATGTGATTTCAAATATAGTGACATATACATTTTAAAGATTAGTGTATTAATGGTAGAAAGTCAATTTTAAAGAAAAATATATATTTATAAAAAAATATTTATATTTTCTTGGAGCCGTTGAGGCTGGAGCAAAATAATTCCCGACATACTGTGAATATCATTGTGTGTACGAAATTATAGTGGTGGCGCAGTATTACGACACCGACGTCAATAAAGAATACGCGATTCGTGGGAACAGTGCCATTTTGAAATGTGTCGTTCCTTCTTTCGTCGCCGATTTCGTCAAAGTCCTATCCTGGCATACGGATCAGGGAGAGGAATTCGTGCCTGGCGATGATTTTGGTATAAACAGATTTAGGATTTACGATTAGTAGAATCAACCGATCTCCTTATCTCCTTGCGAGCAGAAAATTTTGTCGTATCTTTGATCCGTATCGATATAAAATTGAAAATTGTAGATTTTCTAATTATTTAAAAGATATCTAAAATTTTATAAAAACTACATTCACATTTGACCTAGCCATTTATAAATGCATTTAAAAAAAAGATAAAAGATGAATTTCCCAATTCAATTATGCCCCTCGCATAGGGACAATTAAGAGATAATGTCATTATTGTCCGGTCATATATTTCAGTTCGAGGGCACAAATGCATCGTGTCGTTCGGTTGAGTGACTGACACCATCCGTGCGACTCGGTCGCTTCTCGTATATTGATCTCAATTGCCACGGTAGCAAAATGCAAATCTATTTGGAACGTTGCAACGCGAAACTATATGGGTCGTTCACTTTCCACGGCCAACATATATGTATATAACTATATATATATATATATATATATACACACACATATATATACATATATATTTATATACATGCATCGTAACATTTATCTCGTTAACGTTATATCCAATACGATATATCTAATGTATTAACCGAAACGATTGGATATTTGAACATTGTCAGCTATCTCTCTCATTTTTCTATTAAACCCAGAGTTCACTTCTGACGCGCCGTCTATATATTTTAAATCCGTCAGTTCGTTTAATAATATTTATTTTTAGTCTGTTCCCTTTTTCCTGTTCTAAAAATTAATAATAACAACGCTAATTGATCGTAATAATAATAGAAATAATAACGAGAATTTTTATAATATTTTAAATTAATTTTTGTCTATAATATTAATGTCTCATTGTATCTAGTATTTCATAAAAATACAAAAGCAATTAGTACGTTAATTACGTAATAATTGTTCTAGTAATTACAATTAAATGTAATTTCATAAGAGCGAAAGAAATTTTTATTTTTATTTAAATCCTTTTTGTTGTATCGACGCATCCAATATACGTGCATATGCATATATGCACGCATGCAAAGTCAATCGATCGTACACCATCATTATAGACTGACATAAGATACGACAATAATTCTGCTCGCGGAGCAATGGCGAAATATATCGCCCAAAGCTGCCGTCAACGTCGTCGACATTTCATTCGGTTTTTGAAAATTAATTTATATTTAAAGAAAAAACCTTTTATGAATGTATATCTCGTACTGTGTATAAAAATAATATGTCAAAGAGTCAAGCAACTTGCGATTACAAAATACGATATTCTGTTAAATGTATTTCCAATGAAAATAAAATCGACACGAGTGGACGTCATCGTTATCCTCAGTAAATAAATCGGGCTTGCATAGATTATTTTGATCATTTGCAGTGGTACATCAGTATTATCAATCCGAGGTCAACAATGAGTATGTAATACGCGGCAACGCGGCCATTCTCAAGTGCAGTATACCGAGCTTCGTCGCAGAATTCGTTCAGGTTATTGGTTGGCAGGACGATCAGGGAAATTCTTTTGATCCGGATCAGGATAACGGTACAGTCCGAAACTTTTAGGAAATTCGGAAAGTCGGAAACCGCGTGGGCAGCGAATGATTAGTCAACGTCGTCGATGTCGTGTTCGAGAGACGCGATATAATTTTTTTCTGATCATATATCATGTATCGCAAAACTGACTGATATTTCATTTAAATTAATTGAAGAATAATTAATTTAAGAATAAAACTTTTTAAAACGTATATATCGAACTTGCTAATTTGTATTTGAATAATGGTTGAGACACGAGTGCAGAAACTCTTTGATTTTATTTAAGACTGCGTAACTGATGCGCAATTTCTCGGGTAAATCGAATCTTCAAAACTTCTATCTACTATCTAAGAACTAGTTTCCGTAATTACATAGTAGAGCATAGAATCAAATTGTACAATGCTAGCTGCTGAAGTGCAACTCTAATGTTGTATCTCTTTGATCGTAATCATCTAATTTTGTCCAGAGAAATGTGTTTCATTTCTAAGGAATAATTGAGTAAACATGCGTAACAAAACATTGTCTACAGCGATGTGTACGTTATGATAATTAAAAAAATATTATGCAGCGTCCTGAATCGAGAAAAATGTTTCTTCTCGATTAGGCACGCAGCAATGTAACGCAATGTTCGAAAGCACACGATATGATGTACAGCCACACAATGCGCTATTATAATACGCCATTACCTTTTGCAGTCGTGACTCAGTATTATGAGGCGGAAGTTGTATCGGAATACGTGATACGTGGAAATGCGGCTATTTTAAAATGCACCATACCGAGCTTTGTCGCCGAATTTGTGTCGGTCGAATCGTGGGTGGGAAGTGACGGTTCGACCTTCAGACCGTCAACTGATTATGGTATAATACACCTACATACGTGTTTTTATTTTACATCCAGTGCACTTTTCTCTTATTATTCCTTTTAGAATCCTGACGGGGATGATACACTGGAAAGATATATATTTCCTTTTATTTCTATGTCTCCTTCATTCATCTAACTGAAGAAAACTAATATCACTTATATCAAATATTTATTTTATAATTATTTGAACTTTTCTTTACTGAGATGAGACTATTTTTCTAAATCTAAAAATATAATCCAATCTATGCAAAGAGAACTTTTAACATTTGCAAAATAAACATTCTGCTGAATACGGCCATATAATCTTCTTTGATAAAAAAAAATATTTACTATGATATAAATTTTGTTGATGTTTTTATTAAATTTTTGCAGGTTTTTATAAAAATGCATTTGTACGAGACTGAATAAATTATTTTATAATAATTGACGCGCAATTATATTTTTGAGATAAAAATTTATTTATAATATATTGTATATTTATTTGTGTGTTAGTCTAATATCTTTGAACGTAATTGGCGCTTATTTAGTTAATGAATTATTCTATTTACTTTGAAGCAATTATCATCATATCTGTAATAAATATTCTGAATATTTATTCCGATTATATATATAAAATAAATAAATTATTTTAGATCATTTTGATACATCTTGATTAACTTATAGTATGTGCAAGCGTTGTACAATTTGTATGATGATCGCTGATGAGTACGTCGGCCAATAAGTACATACGATGAGTACGCAGAGCGAGGAAATTCTCTTTCCGGTTATATCACCCCTGTCTCTCTCCCTGTTACTCAGACACCCTGTCCCCTCGCCCAACTTTGTCAAAGTTCAAAGTGGCACGTGGTAACGATTCGTTTCCGCCGGCCACGCGGTCTGATCTGACGGCGGCTGAACGGCGGCGGCAGCACACATATACGTGAGAGAATATATATACGTTAATAAACCATCCGGTGGCTCTCACGCCGCGAATTACGATAGGCCTAAGAAAATAAACCGACATCGTGTCTACGAACGCGAGCGTAGCTAAGTTCGAGAAGTTGAAAAATTCTTGAATTCTCATTTCAGCATGGTGTAATATCAGAGTCCAGTAAGCATATTTTGACAATATAAAATAATGTCAAGTGTGAGAGGATAGAAGCGATACTTTCTTGAAATTTGATTTGCATTATTGTGACTTGTTTCGAATTATTTTCGATATACAAAAATATTCATGGGACATCATGATACAGAAAGTTTTCAAATTACTCCTCAATTTTAATTGCTTTTTGTTTTAATAAAAATATTGTTTATTCTTGATTTATTTTTCTAAAAGACTTAAATTTTCTTGTTTATTAATGTCTAATTTTTTTCTTGCAATTTACTTGCGGAAAATTTTTCATCTTTCAGATAATATGAAAGATTAAAAGCGATGAACATATTCCGTTCCACATACAATGGGGGCTATTTTTAAACAAAGCGATCTTTCTTATTGATTAAATTGAACATTATTTTAATATTTATCCCCTACATATAGTCGTCACTCAGCCTTACAATCCGGAGATCTTGACCGAATATGTTATAAGGGGAAACAGCGCGATATTAAAATGCAGCATCCCCAGTTACATCGCAGAATTTGTTACTGTCGAAGCATGGATTCGCGAAGATGGCGAGGTTTATCTACCGACGGATCTTACGATCGCACAGGGTACTACAAATCCCATTGGGCGGTTCTTAATTATTTTAAGCATTCCACTGAAAATTTGTATATGGATTAGGATGTTTATTCTTATTTAATAAAAAATCTTATTTAATAGAAAAGTATTCCTATAAAATAAGTAACTCAAGAATTTAATAGGACTCTGGAATTTGCAGTAACCTGTTTCTTGATTAAAGAATAATTTATAAATTAAAAATATTGACAATTTTTTTGGATTCCTAGTAAAATCAGTTAGCCATTATAATTGTATTGAATTTTACTTGAATTTTTTACTTTGCAATCTATATCTATATACATGTCTATATCTATATACATATACAATTCACTGTGGAAAATATTTGTCGCTTATTTATGTTTTACTAACGTTAACAACGTTAACCAAAAGTAACACATTAGTATTTTTTCTCTTACGATCCCATTATTCAAGACGTATTTTATTTTCCGTCGATCCGCCTATTTAACTCTTTGAAGCATACATTTTTACAAGAATGTGCACAAAAGGAGTTTTATGACGTGCCCAACAAGATATTTCTTGTCAAAGAATGACAAAAAATATTTTAATATAATTTAAAATATTTAAATTTCTATTTGATCGATTGATTTATTTCATATGAAGTAATCTAAATTAATCATTTAAATTTCATCGTTATAACTAATTAAATTGTCAAATTTATTCAAAGAAACAATTTATTTCTCACCGTGTCTCAGAGAGTTAACACATTGCCGGCAGTGGTTTCGCAGTTCTACGTTACCGAAGCCGAGAACGAATACGTGATCCGAGCTAACAGCGCGATCATGAAATGCAAAATACCGAGCTTCGTGTCCGAGTTCGTCCAGGTGGATCAGTGGATGGCCGACGACGGGACGATTTACACGTCCGGTCAGGAATACGGTATGATGCCGGTCGATGTCGACATAGAGATGCCGTTGTATGTCGTTGTCTGCGGGGCAGTTTCTCCATTCTTTTATTTCCCCGTTATTTTCATTTCCTACCCTTAAACGAGGCCACCTCTTGCACTTTCTTCTCATTCGTTTCCAGGCAATCCGACAACTGTTGATTGCAGTTCGCAGCTCGTGACAAGTTTCAACTTTTACTTTCGAATCTGATATAATCCAATGCACTTGTGCAAATCGCATTTGGAAGTGTATTTAAAATTCCTATTTACTCACTTACTCATTACATCTCAGAGTATGACGTCATAAGTGAGAAATAAAAATCTTGCACAATTTTGCAAAATTCTTGCAAAATATGGAAATATGTTTCAATAAAATAACACAATTGGGACTGATTTGTAAGATACACCGAAAACTCTTTTTTTACATGTCGTTAATTATTATTAAATAATCATATTTGGAAATAAATTATGCATTACCAAAAACGAAATAAGTTCGCAGTTATGACAAACTATCAAAATAATAATATACATATAGAAATAAATATGATTTAATTTTTTCTTGAAACAAGAAAGTAATTTCGATATATGTAAGTCTGTCTTATTGATTGTAAATGTTGTTTTTTATTGAAAAATATTTCTACTTAAATATAATTTGCAAGAATTATTTATTATATGTTTTCTCGATTTTGACGTTCGATAATCTGAGATAGTAGTAATGAATAAATCAGAGCGTTAAGTTACTAGATAAACATCTGAAAGGTGGATATAAAGACGATAATAATTTGAATGGCGAAAAATACGATGGCCGTGCACAATTTTAATTGTTTTTCGGCGCGGTTCGAGTAGCGTTCATCAAAAAGCGAAACAAAATTTGATATGATACACCACGATTAGCTTTGAGAAATCTCGCGTTGCAGTGGTCCAGCAATTCTACGAGACGAGGGTCATCGACGAGTTTGTCTTACGCGGAAATACCGCAACCCTGAAATGCCTCGTACCCAGCTTTGTGGCGGATTTTGTAGATGTGATTGAATGGCAGGATGAGGATGGTTCCACTTATACCGTGAATAGCCAACAAGAAAAGGGTACTTATATTGATTGCACGAAATCAATATTAACAAAATGGCGAAATAATTATAAATTTTTCTCACCTATATTATTTCTAAATCCTATTATATTATAGTGATTAGCAATTTTTTTTTATAGATAATTTTTTTTATTTCTTTGTATCTCTTTTATTTCTTTTCCTATGTCCTTAAAATTTCTCACAACATATCCATCTTTCAAAGATCTTGCAATTAAATTAGAATGTACAATATTTGTCTCAGATGAGTAGAGACGGTTCATTCATGTAATGTAGCTATGTTTTGCACATATTAGCATCGTTCGGCAGAATTCTCGTACAATGGAAACAAAGATTGGTGGTCGATGGAATGGAAGGCAGGTTTCTATTCCGAAAAGTTTACCTTTTCTATTCAGAGATCGATAAAGGTGAATAGAAGCAGAGCATGTAGTCGGCAGTGGTCTCGTTCTGATCCTCGGATTAGGATAAGCCAGATTAATAGGGTCGAGAAGCGAATTAACGCCTGCGCGCGATCAAGTGATTTGATCCACTTTCAGTAAAGAGAGAAGATCGTTGAAAGATTTTCCCGGTAACATAATCGAATTTACTTTACGGCTGTGCTAACCAGTGCTTGAAGACATTACATGTAATATCATAATATGTAATATTAATTAATGAAGCGAAGTTATACTAATGTCTTAAATTTCATCATATTCTCGAGAAATCATAATTTCATTTCTGTACCTAATTTTTGATTACGGAAACGGATATTATTTCCCGAAGCGTGTTGCATATTTCAAAAGCGTATAGTAACTATTCATTTATTAATGAATTCGTGAGATAAAAGTAATTAAAACGATAAATCTTATTCGCATAAAAGCTTAAGTGGTATAAAATTCGGTTTGTGATTACGAAGTAATATTGAGAGATAAATGTTGTGTTAAATATAAATTTAAATACTATATTCGTTAAATATGCCGCATATTGATCTTCTTCGATACAATGTACACGAATAAATTTCTACCTGAAATTAAGAGACGGAGTGCCGGATTTGTGTTAATTTGCAATTAGATTAAGTCGGATTAACTGGATCGATGTTCACGTGCACCGGACGTTGCTGAACTTGACAGCGGCACGATCGGAGGCTGGCTGTAGCGACGCGGCCAGTCAGTTTACAGACAGCCAGACTCATTGGAATTTTAATCGGCGTGATCAAAGCGCACCGGCGACACTCGGCAGCCTAGAACAAACTCCAAACTCTTGTTTTTTCTCGCTTCATTTGCAGTGGTCGCCCAGTACTTTGAGGTTCAGGTTTACGATCAGTTCGCGATACGCGGCAACGCGGCAATTTTCAAGTGTCAAGTTCCCTCATTCGTGGCCGACCACGTGGACGTGGTGGGATGGATCGATTCCAACGGCGGCAGCTACGTCGCCGACGCACAATCATATGGTAGTAAAAACTAAAGGGATGCACGCAGCGCACTGTTTATTGTGTTCCCCTTTATGAACCGGCAGATCGCAAATTTTGTTTGAATAGGGCGCAGATCACCAGTGACTGGACTTGAGAACTGGATCGCTCGACCGAGTCAGTTGATATCTTGCATGCGCTTTCTACGATTTTCTCTTTTCCTCCTAATGATATCATGTTTACATATCATGTTTATTTAAGTGTGCGAAGTGTATAAGGCGCATGTAATACGATTAGATATCTTCCATATCGTTGCGACGCGCATCGATGCCACTTGTTTATTGAACGTGTATAACGAATCGTATGTAATGTTGAACATCGATCGCGTCTATTTCAAGACCGGTCGCGCGACCAGTTCTCTTTGACAGAAACATATTCTTCAGTTGCCATAGACAGTAGAGTTTATTTTAATTCACAAAGAAAAGAGACGCGACGTTGACGTGAATAGGATTTCTGATTATGATAGGCTCGCCGAGCGGAATTTATCGAGTCGTTGAAAATTCATGATGATTACGTTATGTACAAGTTTGAAAATAACGTCTGAATCGTTCGTTGAGTATCTGTTTTTATAATTATAAATTCTGAAAGTTTATATGCTCAATTTTTATTGTATATTCTGTATACAATAAAACTGAAGCATTTTTTTATTAAATAAGGATGTATTACACGTATTTTTCAACAAAATGAAAAAATTATTTTAAAAAATTACAGATTTTTCTTTATTGTATTTTAAATTTAAAAAGTACAAAAAGGTGGCAATTTAGAACCTGGAAAAATTATTTTATTAAGAAATAGATACGTTTTTAAAAATAATTAAAATAAAATGAGAAAATTTTTTCTTAAACTGTGTAACATTGTATTGTTAAACATAACTATTGATCTTATTAAATTTTTTATATGTATATAATATTTATTTCTTAGGGAAAGTATAAATTTTCCATTCTAGTCACGTCGCAGGAACTAATTCAATATATTGTTAAAGCTGTCTTATCCAAAATAAAATATTCTTAAAATTTTTGTGGTACAAGTTCTGCGATAATACCGAATGTGTCATTCAAATTGAATTCATTAAAGCTTACAATATATTATTTTGATGACTATTTATCTTCGAGCCAATACAATAGTATACCTGATCATATCTTTCTCTTTTCTTGGTATGAAATAATACATAAATACATTAATAAAACTAGCTCTTATTAATGAAACTTTTCCTCTTTTCTCACAGCTTATGAATTTTATTAAGATTTACTTGGAAATCACGTAATAAACGTTTATATAATAAGTGGATAAACGAGATTGAGGTTGAATAAGCTCATAAATACACAATTAAGTATTTTATTTATCAATCGTAACGTCTCATCTATCATAATAAAATTAATTGATAATGAAATTAATGACATAATTCCTATTATCACTTTTTACGTAGAAATCGACGAAATCGTCAATTGTACGAAGTCGATATCGTGTGTAATCAATCGACGAATGATCGACACGTCCTGTCAGGTGGTAGATGTGCGCCTTATGGTAAAACCGGAAATCGGTGTCTGGTTGCAGTTGTCGGGCAGCGGTATGCAGTGAACGTGATGGACGAACACGTCCTTCGGGGGAACGCCGCAATTATCAAGTGTCACATACCGAGCTTCGTCGCCGAATTCGTCGAGGTTGACTCTTGGATCGAAGACGAGACCACTGATATATATCCTAGCGCCGATTACGGTACATACAAGGCGCAATATTTCATATCATCTTCACTCTGCTTGAATATCGCGTGAATCTTCCATTTCTATGACATTTGCAATCCATCAAATTGACGTATTATCTGGAAACTTATTACAGAAATAAACGCATAGAACGCAATAGGAATTATATTCTATTTTGTGTGTATTTATATTATTCCATTATCGGAAGTTGTATGATTCGTGAGATAACATTTATGCAGAAGATTTTAGAAGCAGATTCTTCGACTAGTTTTTCTTATGATTTTTCGTTTTTTTCCTTCTTTCCGATATACTTCGTATTTTAGTTAAAAAACATTAATGCATTTTCTTTGGATTATTTGTTCTAAGTATTGTAATAAGAGCGATGCGTTTCAACCGTTCGATAAACGTAGAATTACAGTGGTCGGCAAGCTATTAATATGCAATAATGAGATCAAGGATTCTCTCACTGACGTCGTCCGACCATCGTTCGGTAATGACACTCCATTTGACGATCGCTTTCGCATTCGAGCAAAAATTATCCTCGGCTCGACCGTGACAAATAAATAATAATTAAAAACGTGCTGGTTTCAATCACGAGGTCCCGAACGAAATACGTGCACAGTGACAATGATTTTGACACAAATTTTGATATATGGGAGGAAAAAAGAGAACGGCAGGAAAAGGGAATAAACTATTTCGCCAATTTATAGTTGCGAAATAACAAAAATACCAATCCAGGTCGTTTAAATCGTTCCATCGGCCTCCGCTCTATCGACCAAGTATCACTCGAATCGATATCACGCGTGCGAAATACAAGATATACGTGTACTCTCGTTTTGATGCCCCTCGTTTCAAAAGTACCGTGCAATGCGGGATTTTACGTGGAAATTTGTACGTAAATTTGTACGACGTTGACTGCCGCTGCTCGCGCTGTTCCAGACCTCTCTTCCCTCTTTCCACCGATTTTTTTTCCGGTCGTTTGATTCGGCCCATCCGTCTCTTCTCACCTGTACCCTCCTCTCTGTGTGATAGTAGCTAAATGGCTGTGGATAGCTTTTGTGTGATCGCATGAAACTAGTTCGCCTATCCAGGAAGTCTCGTTTGTCGATGAGATTCAGCCGCAAAAGCGATCAGATTTGTTAGAGGCGTTGGATTTTCAACCACAATGGAGATTAACTTTAAAATGAATTAACAGCAATTCGTTATATCCCGTTTATTAAGATAATCTGTAGCAAGTGATATTGTATATAGATATTTGTTAGAATCATTTTCGGAAAATTAATGATAAAGTCTTTACCAAATAATTTGTTTATTTTGTATGTTTATTAATAAACAGTATTAATAAACACTGTAGATTTCGTACTTAAGATTATTTTTTGTTCTCTTTACGGTTATTGTAATAGATACAAAAAATATATAGATTTCCTGGATATTTCAACGAGCAAGAAGAATATCGCATATATTTACATTCGTAAAGAGATGAAGATGTGATTTCGCATATCTTTCCCATGAATCTGTAAGTGGACGCGAGATTCTTTTGCTGTTGTTTGACGAACGTGCTTCGATTCCATAAAGAATTCGCCGAATTGTCGAAGCGGGAAATTGAAGGGTCCGTGTTCATTCAGCGTTCGGCGAATTCTTATATTGCATGTAGATACATTAAGTAAGAGCATTGTGCTTGAAGTTTGGTATACAGAAAGAACAATTTTGCCGAGTAAAAATTTAGTTAGATTTAAAAATAACTTTTTTATTTTATTAAAATAATTATGTAAGACGCTTAAGCATAATAAGCAAAATGTTTGACATTCTATAGCAATTATCTCTTGAGCGTCCTACATAAATATTTTAATGGTCCAGTAAAATTATTTTAGCCTAGTAAACACTAAGAGTAATATAACATCGACATAATAATTTCACACTCAACAATATAATGTAATATAACATATGTTATATGTTACAGTTACATCGTTAATTAAGAAATTATAACATTGATGTTATATTACTTTTAGTTGATTTACTGGATGTGAAAATAATCTTTTTGGTCTACCAAATAATTATATAAGACGTTAAAAATATAATGAGCAAAAAGTTTTGATATTCTAGCAAATCTTGAACGTTCTACATAATTATTTTAATGATCCAATATTAAATTATTTTTAGATTGGTATCTAGCTAAATTTCTAGATACTTCAATGAAGCTTTCTGTGTAATATTATATCACTGTCATTCGAGCATCGTGCAATTAAGTCGGGATAATCGACTTCCTCTTGATATTAATAACACATATGTGTTTGTAATTAATTGGTGATGATGTGCTCATAACTAATCAATTTAATAATATCGCATGACATCAAATAATACGATAATCAGTCGATCGATTATCCCGACAAATTACATAAGGACTAATGCGCAATGACTAACGTGTGCAACTCTGAACGGGTTTAGATGGAAAATACTTGGTACTGCCATCCGGAGAGCTGCACATCAGGGACGTTGGACCCGAAGACGGATATAAGACTTACCAATGCCGCACGAAACATAGACTCACTGGCGAAACTAGGCTATCCGCAACGAAGGGTCGTCTCGTCATTACTGGTGAGTGAAAACGCAGAAGTGTCTCGTTCCTTTTGTACGGAAATAACGATTCTGATTCAGCATCACTCTCTTTGACAAATATTTCTCGATCATCCTTCGATAAGCGGAGGGGTACAGCTTTACTAATCAACGTTCTGTATCTGTTTTTCTGAAAGAAATCAGAATCGTATTTCTAATTTCGAACCTGGATGCCTGGATTCACATTTTTCACTTTTTGAATCAATATAAATACAGTATTTGTGGCAATTAATTTATATAATACACGCAATATTACGATCGTGAAAGTTAATTAATTATGAAACCGTTGTTGCGAAATAATTTGTTTATTTACCGAGTTAAATTAATCGGGTTAATATAAATTTATGTACAGATATAAAATATTTTCCCTTTTTTTTTCTTTCTAAATATCAGAGTTTAGGTACATCTCTTCCAATTTAACATAAATTTTGAAATATCAATTTCTAAATGCCGTTATTATTAGCTACCTATTTCTCTTATTGTGAGGTGTCTAGGTTCGAAATTATTATCCAAAAGATTATTGATTTTCACAAAAATAAATATACACGAAACTAATATTTTAAGTAATTAGTGTAATCTTCCAAATTAATTTCTAAATTACTATTATTGTTGTGCAAAAGCATTGTATTTTTTTAAGGAAAATCAGTTGTCTTTTTGGATATATAATCACGTTTTACGAACGTGCAATCGCGCCAACGAGCTTGATCGACGATTTCGTGCTCGATTCTTTCGAAAACGCGAAGGACTGTTAAGAGGAATCATTCGATATTTTTACATTACGAATTTTACCTTCGAATTTATTATCTTATAAAGCCGAAATGCATGTCCGGCATTTAGCGATCAAGCTCGAGGGTGAACCTGAATGCTGGGACAGGGTACCCCTGCGGGCACGCGCCACCGCCCGCCCAAAACTCGACTCTTGATATAATCGATTTCGAGAGGAAATGTCCAAAGACAAATGAATGATAATAAAAAAAAGAAATAACTGACTTGTGCGAAATTCTTTCGAAATGCTTTGCGGCGCCTTCCGCGATCTCCGGGCTCTGTCCTTCGCTCTCGCGTGGTAAGTTTACGGAACATGTTCTTTCAGCCGAGAACTTCACCGTGTGGATGCTGCACATAGTTCTATAGACGTTAGTATTCAACGCAGCTGAGCTTCGTTTCGTACTGTGAATTAAGAGGAATCGATCGTATAATTAAGCGGCGTCGTCTTTGTTCGCTCTTGCAGTAAACGAGCAGGAACATTCGAACCGTTAAATGCGACAATGATACTAGCCATAATTTTCCCATTTTGAAAAGAATTCTCTTCAATGTTTTATCTTATTAATTTTTATGAAAAATTGAAATTTTTTAACGAACTGAAACGCATTAAATTGTTATAAAATTTTGTTTCCATCCCTTTTAGTTGTCGTGACTTGTATCACTACTTCACTCAATGGCACATTGTGTAATTCGAGTAGTCTAGAGTTAAGAAATTCTCTTAGATATAGTACGATGGATTCACCGCACCATAACGCGACATTGAGCATGAAATCACTTTCGTTTCGCTATCGCTTTCGCGTAGTCATTGAATCTACATTGATCGGCAGGATGACACCGATAAACACGAATTGCTTTGTTCGTATAAAGCGTGCAATAGCGTAGGCAAAGCTGTCAAGTCACGTCGACGCGATGCAATAATCTAGGGGCTACTATAACTAGAGCAAGATGCAGTATAGCCATAATGACAATGATTGGCGACACGAGCAGGGGGCTTGACAAGCCTTTATGGCTCTACTGGCTTTTCGTTATGCAGAACCCGTGGGCAGTGTGCGACCAAAGTTTCCTACGATGGACAACATAAATGGACTTTCTGTGGGCTTGGAAGGCAATATACCGCTTCTGTGCCCTGCCCAAGGATATCCAGTACCGTCTCATAGGTACGATACTCTTGATCACAGAGATTAACTCTCGATTGGAAACAATTAAAGGAACATATAAAATAGTTGCAGGACGGTTTTATAATAATGATATTTTCTTTTATATATTAAATTATAACGGACAGTAATTTATAAAATGACAGAGAATAAAATTCTAGAGCATAGAAGTTTGTATCAATATTACTGTAATGTTACAATGTTATTAATTACTGGAATGTTGTAAACATTATTGCAATATTGTTGGAATGTGCGATCTGTGTTGTATGAGATTGTAAAGCAATTAGTAAAGACAAATTAGAAAGTAACAGGCGAATTATTACTCATACAATACAGATCATTTCAGCAATATTATAGCAATATTGCAACATTCCAATATTAATATAGTTGTAATATCATTGAAAATGTTGCAGCAATGTTTCTGTAAGCATCTCTGCTGTATAAATAATTTCATTTATTCAGGAACGATGGAATTGTATTGGTGAAGAGAAGATAGTCTATTTTTGTTAGCTAAATTTAATATACATAATTTAAATATGCTTATTTAGATTTCAATTAACGATAAAAGACAGTCTTTTATTGATTTTATTTAAAATCATTTTATTTATAACGTATGGAAATTAAATTGAAAATTATCTTAGAGAAATAACAGAATTTTTATAATCAAACGCAAATCTCAACTTTTATTAGACGATACCAATAATCTTTGTTGTCACGCCATTATTTAGCAAATCGTTGTATCGTGTATGTGTATGTGTGCACAGGGGTTCCCCGTTCCTTCTCATTGATCTAGTTAAAGCATTTAGTGTCATCATTCTTGAAGGTACTCACATAAATTCATATACGGTTACGACGTTGAGTCAATTTATCTTTCCGCAAGGACGATTCTTGATTCGCATCAAAATTACAAGCGAGTTAAAAGAATGAAAAAAAAAAAACAGAAATGGCGTGCATTTTAGAACCAGTGGGCAGTGTGCGCCCAAAGATTCCGTCGACGGATGACGTGCGCGGTTTCCGGACTCTTATCGGAGACTCCCCTGCCTTGATGTGCCCGGCACAGGGGTTCCCCGTTCCCCTGTACAGGTAGAGACCACAACACTGCCACTACGAGCGAACGCGAATCCTTCGGGATGACCGTTCGTCGCGGGCACGCAAGTCTCCAATTATAAACGATATGATCAGAGCCGATCGGCAGTGTGAGACCCAAGTTCCCGACGATCGACGACTCCAGGAGTTTTCGAACGACAAAGGATGGCTCGGTCACGTTGCTGTGCCCTGCTCAGGGATTCCCTGTCCCCTTGTACAAGTAAGTCGTACTAGGCGAAGTCGTATGTATTTTTCTTTCTTTCTCTTTTCTTCTTGGGTCTCGTAACCTGTCGCAGAGCCTGTGGGAAGCGTACGTCCAAAGTTCCCCAGCGTCAGCAATATAAATGGTCTCATCACGTCTACGAAAGGAACTTTGCCGCTCCTGTGCCCGGCTCAGGGCTTCCCGGTCCCTTCATATAGGTATTACATTATCGAATACCTTGATGTCATTTTGCTCTTAAAGCGACTCTCACGTTGATTCTCCATTAAGGAATTGCGATTAAATATTCGGTGCTTGCAGTGAAGCTGCTGGATAATTAGCAATGACGATACACTTGACATATTGCGGTGATCCTCTCATGTCATATAACTAATTTCTTTAGCGGTTATGGTCTCAATTTTATATTAATACTCTGATGGAAAATTCTAACGCTGTATTCATCTTTGAGAATTAGAATTTTTTAATGGAAGATCTTGCTTTCTAAAGGTTTTTGGGATCGAATCTCAGAATTATAAAATTACAATTTAAAAAAATAATATAATTATCGTAAAACTCGATTTTAAAAGACTTTTGATATCTCTAAGTTTAAATGTATTATAAAAATATATTATAAAAATATTCAAATGTAGTATTGAAAATTTAAAAGGTGTAGTAATCATCTAAATTCTCCTGCATAAAGGAGAAGTATCAGAGGGCTCAAATAGTTGGAAAACTTATGTTAAATTTAACATTTAACTTTTGTATTAATTTTACAAAATGTATATATTAGAAAGTAACACAAATATTACGTAAAAAAATTAATATAAAAAATGTAATACCGACACAATTTATAAGTAAACTGTGGAATCATATTTTTTCAGTAAAATTAACATTTATCATATGTTAAATTAACACATATTTTATTATTTTAATATTCATTCTTTGTTTATGTATCTTATTATATTTTATACAATATTATTAGAGAGAAAATCTCTTTTTATATTATTTTGATAATTAAATGTTAAACAAAACCTACATTTGTAGCATTAAGTAGATTTGGACATCAAAAGATAAAATTGCGTTGTGTTTTTATTGCAAAAATTTGCAAGGTACAAATTTAGTTCGAGATTCAGGGGTTCCCCGTCCTCCTGCATATGATATTTTAGTTAGCGGTAATAGTGTGTACGTACGATTCAATAATGTTTAGAGCCGGTTGGCAGCGTGAAACCGAAATTCCCGACGATAGATGACATCAGAGGGTTTCGTATGATTAAAGATGGATCTGTCACATTATCGTGTCCCGCTCAAGGGTTCCCTGTCCCTATTCAAAAGTAAGTCGAAATTCACAAAGATGTTTCATTGTGGTGCATTTCACTGTCATCTTCACTTTTCCTCTTATCCTTTCCAATTACTTATCTTCTTCTCTCCCGGACTGCGACTGGCAGAGCCCATAGCGAGCGCACGTCCAAAACTTTCGAGTATCGTCAACCTGATTGGATTCATGACGAGGACCAACGGGAGCTTGCCACTTTTTTGCCCTGCGCAAGGATTTCCGCTTCCGTCTTATAGGTAGGATAGGATATCCTTCATTAAAACGGCGATTATTTAAATACGATGATGTAAGATCAAGATACCTGTAGTTTTAGAATTTTGTTTATAGAATATATATCAGTTAGTGAATTTTTAATGGACATAATCTAATTATTGGACGAAATGACAAAAATTTTAAATATATTATACTTTCAGTTGTATGCACGATTCTAAGTAAATTCGTTGTTTAC